TCCCACCTTGCCTTCCCTCACAGCAGGCAGCCCCAGCTTGCCCCCAGGCATCTTGGGATCCACGCCCCATTTTATCCATCCCCAGGTTACTACCCATGCATAAACCCATCTCAGGTCATCTCCTGACAGCTCTGACTTTTCCTGCCTGCCCTCTCTGACCACAGCTTGTCCCTCTCATCTCCTGCCCTCCATCCTCATGTGAAGCACAGCCAGTGCTGGTTCCCCATGGTCCTTCCACGCCTCCACCTTCTCCCCATCCCCTGCCAACCCCAGCATTTTGGGGAGTCAGGCTGCCTCCCCTCCTCATCTTCCCTCCCCGCCAGCATCCTCTCTCTGCCCAACACGTCTCATCTCCCCATCTGCCCTGAGATTAGGCTGACATTTGCCGTGCTAAATTCAGCCTCAGTGATCCACCCTCTTCCCTCCCTGTTGGTAAACAGCTTTGCTTCTCCAGCTAACGCCTTGCACCGGGAGAGCTCTCCCTCCAGCTGCTCTGCATCTCAGGCAGTCCCAGCCCTCCGCTGTTTAGTCGGCACTTCCTTATTCAAATGACTTCAATAGGGTCTAGCCAGAGCTGCAGGAACAAAAATTAGTGTTCCCTGGCAACAGGATCCCTTCTCCACTTCTCATCCTCAAGGGAGTCACCTCTGTGCCCCAGCCCAGACCAGCTGGATTAATCACACGGTCATCCCAGGTCAGGATTGTGGAAGGTGAAGGTGGTGGATCCAGATATCACCCACAGGACCATGTACTGGGATGGGGTTTTGAACGCAGGAGTTGATAGCTGGAAGGTGTAGCGGTAATTCTGCTTCAAGAGTTTACTTTCAGATGTTTTGGTTCCACTTTGTCCCTGTCCGGGAGAGTTTCCCATGTTACACCCCACGGCATTGCTCTGCTGCTTTTCGTTGGGGCAAAGTCCTCTCCTTCTTGGCTACCGTGGTGGCAGGTGCCTGCCTGATGCTAGCCTGTCTGCTGACACCCCTCCAAGATGTGGCTGGGGAGTTCAGGATGGAAGCTTATCCCTGTGACCCTTCTTTGGTTTTTTTGGTGTTTGCTTTTCTCCTTCTACTTTTCTGTGGTCTCCAGGTTGTTCCCAGCCTGTCCTCACACTGCCAGGGCTCCATTTTCTCCTTCTCCTTCATCTCCATCCTCTTCTCTCCTGCCGTCTGTCAGCATCTCTCCCATGGCTTATGCTTTCAGATACTCAGCTGTGTCTTCTGGCTGGTGCCATCCTCCCTTGTAGGAGAAGCTTCCCAAGAAGCCACCCTTTTGCCCGTCTTCTTCTACCCAGATTCTCTTGCAATTGCTGGACCTAGCTCTGTGTCCTCCTCTGCTCCCCAAAAAACCACTCCATCCACTTACGGCATTTGCATCTTCCATGTCAGGAAGACAATTTCATTCTTTTTCTGGTGGTTCTTTTTTGTCCATACAATGGGTCAAGGCTTCTGGGCACTACTGCCATTCCAAATAAATACTAACAACAAGTATTGCTGCCCTCCTAACCAAGGACATAAAGAATTTGTCAGCCCTGCAGTACCTTTGATCCCCCATTCATCATCTCAAGCTTCCTGCCGTTATCTTTGTGGGACACGCTTCCGGTATTCAGCAAATATTTGATTTCCCGTGAATTTAAATAAAAAGACTTTTTCCCGTTTGGTGGTTTGTTTTTGTTTTGTTTTGTTTTGTTTTTTAAAAGATTTTAAAATACTTTTGGCACTGTGTGGATACATTCCAGTCCAAGAAAAATAGAGAAAAACTGTTCTGACTAAATATAGATCAAAAGACACTTGTGAGCTGCCTCATGCATCCCCAGCTGAGAGTGCTTTCCTCTCCCAGGCCACCCAGGCTCTTTCGACCACACTTCTGCCCTGCCCCATAAACTCTCTGTATTCCCTCCTCTGCTCCAGGCAAGCTCTGCCTCCATTCGGCTTGGCTTCTGGCATGGCTCACAGCCTGGCTCAAGGGAAAGATGCTGTTTTTAGAATACTAGAAAGACCTTCCAGTAGTGAGACCATGTTGTGCATATTTCATCCTTTCCCTCTGGGTCTTTTAAAGCCATTTTTCAACCACTTCTTGCAACACCCCTTGGAGCAAGTTCTGTTAACTGGCTTTACAGCTGAGTGAATCCAAAGGGCCAACTGGAAATACTGGATCTCAGGTAGTCTAAACTAGCACAGCTCCCTTTCAGCTGCGGCACAGCAGCTGCAGGGTTGGCTCTAATACGGTTTCAGGAGCACACACTGAGTACATGCAAAGTCAAGCCTGTCTCATTTATCATTGTACAACTCCCAGTGCAACAGGTCCTCCTCAGGTTGGAGGGTTGCTTTTGAGGGTTGCACAAGGGTTGTGCAGTGCAAATACCAATTAATATTAATAATGGTAAAGCAGAGAAAAGATAAAACCAGTACTCCTTGTCCTCTCTTCTGAACACTGCATTGCTCATTTTGCAAAGCTGAGTTAATCAGGGATCCAGGACCAAGCCCTTCAGTAGATCTGTTGCATGTCAGAGGTGCAGCTGTGCTGGCCAGCTTGGGTCCATGTGCGTATGACTCTCAAATCCCTCTCACGGAAAATGGTCACCAGCAGTTACACGTTAGCAGGGCACTAACTGGGTAGTAACTGGGATGGCACTTTTTTTTTGCCCACAGGTATTTGTGCTGTGCCATGGGCTTCTCCAGCTCTCCCAGCTTCTCTACAGTGCCAACTTCAAGAGCAGCCTCACCACCATTGAGAAGCGCTTTGGGCTCTCCAGTCTCTCTTCAGGTTTCATCTCCAGCTTACATGAGGTAACTGGGTGAGAAGCTTGTGTGGGGGCCTGGAGCGGTTGCCAGAACATGGTGGGGAACTTCTCAGAATAGGGTCTCAAGGTTGTTCGTACCCAGTGCTTCCTTGGCCATGCTGGCATGTGCTGGATGAAGCAGCTGTTGCTGTATACTTGGACACCTTCAAATTTTTCTTCTGCTGTACCACATGCCAGGAATTTGAATGTAGAGTCATGTGGCTAGGATGTGGCCTTGGAGGGCAGCAGCAGAAAGCAGGTTGCTTCAGAGGAGACTACTCCACCCTGGGATGCCATACATCTCCAGCAGACACATGACTGGGAGACAAAACATGTAATGTGATTCTTCTCCAATGACTGATCTAGTGGAAGAGGTCCCTGCCTATGGCAGGGGGGGTTGGAACTAGATGATCTTTAAGGTCCTTTCCAACCCAAACCATTCTGTGATTCTATGATCACAGTTCTTACAGCTTTTGTGAAGAGCAGCATTTTATTATGAGTGGTACCTACGTAACTATGGCTCTGTGAGCAATTTCCAGTGAAAGTGTCTCTTTCCATAGGTTTCTAATTGGCTTTATGAATGACCCTGGCCTGAGTCATTCAAAGCTTTCTCTAGAAGGAAACCCTGCCTGGCAGTCTCTCCAAGATCTAGCCCTTTTCTCCAGTGCTCCCAGCTCCTGATGGCCCTGTGGCAAAGGACTGACTTTCAGTGGCATATTGCTGAACTGGTTGAGGATTTTTTCTCACACACTTTCTAAACACTTACTCCTCTGGAATAAGTTTTCTAGTTCACATTGTCATGAATTGTCTCCTTTCTGGTAGCTCTTCAAGGCCAACTAGGAAAAGACCTGCTGGCAGAGACTTTCTTTTGACAGCACAGGCAAAGAAGTGCTTGGTGGCAGCCCACCTTGCATACAGCTGGTCTTCTGCCATGGGATCATCTACCAAGAGTCTGGGCACTAAGAATCCTCCCTGGTCCTTGGGGAAGTAGATGCCCGGGCGTTACCTCAGCCAGCACCTACATCTGGGGTTAAAAAGACTGGTTCAAAGCCTATTGGGACCAGTGAAGGACTTCCCACCGATTGTGACTAGGTCCGAGCCATGCAAACAAAGAGACCCAGTATGGACAGCTGTAACGTTGGTAATGAGGAACTGGCATAATTAAGCCTGGCAGAGTATCTCAAAGCTGTAACCCATGTGCTCCTTATCCACTAGAGAACTTACTTCTACTTAGGAGAATTAATGCCTGGAGAAGTAATACCAAAGCAAGCACCATGTAGAGCAGTCTGTTACTGCAAGAATATGAAGGGCAAAGGATTGGAACAGGACATATGCCGTGCCGTTAAAGAACAACAGCTTGCAGACTACATATACATCTTTATTTCTCTGCTTTATGAGAGAAATTTCTGTGCTTTACTCCAGCTGTGTGTGAGCTGCCCTACCTGTCCAGGACGACAATCTTTTTGCATTGATAGCTGCAGCAATTCCAAGGACAAAAAACACAGAGAGACAAACAAGGGAGCCCATGTAAACATAAATAAAAAGTATTCTTAGCCATACATACAAGTTAAAATAATGTTTAGCTTATCCCAAGCTGACAAAGCCCATGTAATGGTAATTTTATGGTGTTCGCCCACTTGCCTGCATAAGCTGCATGTTTTCCTATCTTTTTAGATGACCAGATCTGCAGTTGCAAGTGTCCAGAGTCACAAACATTTGCAATGAGCTGGACTTTGTAGCTGCGCTTGTTTCTGTTTAGACTCATGGGAATGGAGGCAATACACTTCATTCCTTGCTGTGTTCTGGGGAATTATTAGTTTATCTACCCCCCCATCCTGTGGGGCGAGGTGTAGGTGTCAGTGCTGAAAAAAGCCCCAGCCAGATCACAGAGAGGCTGTGAAGTCGTCCATGACAACAAGGGATGCACACAGGTGACAGAAGCCAAGGAGTTGGCCCGCTGACTTTCGATGAGAAGGGAGCACTGACTTGCTGGCAATATGCAGGATGAAGGGCTGTCCCGTTCCTGCTCTTGTGGGTGTCACCTGATAAGAGGGCTCTCCACCCAGCCAGACACAGTCATGGGGGACCAGTTATAAGGTCCTGAGTTCCTCTGTGACACCTTCTAATGTTCTTCCCATTTTACTGTGTCCTTTCCAGATCGGCAACGTGGTCCTTATCATCTTTGTCAGCTACTTTGGCAGCCGCGTTCATCGCCCACGGGTGATCGGTATTGGGGGGCTGCTGCTGGCGTTGGGAGCGTTCCTGGTTACCCTGCCCCACTTCCTATCAGACCCCTATGAATACACCATGCTTAGTGCTGGTAAGTGCTTCCACCCTTACTGCCATGAGCTGTCCCAGCTCACCTCCATCTCCAGTTGCTCTGGGCTGGGTTACACGAGCCTACCCAAAAAGAGTTATTGTATTCAGCACACACAATTTAAACACCGGTTCTAGAAGGAAAGACTTAAGGCAGAGATTTGCTATTTTAAGGCTGACTTCAGTATAGCTTTGCAACCCCTTCTGAATGCAATAATTACATGTGGGATCCCTTCTGGCTCTTCCACGCGTGTCATTCCAGCTGTAGTTTCAGGTGCCAAGTGCTGTGGTCATGGTGAAGGACCCAAATTCCCCATAGATGCTCCTGAAGGCCTCCAGAGGGAGCAGTCTGTGCTTCAAGCTCAGCAGGCAGGATCACCTCCAGGCGGCCAAGACACCTCTCCCTCCCATCAGTGCCTAAGGAGCTTGCTGTAGGGCTGAGACCCCTGAGAGAGACTTCATCCCATGAAGACATGCCAACCCAGGAATATTTGTAAGGAGGCTCCACACTCAGTGAGAGAGCATATCCTTCAATGTGGATACTATAAAATATGCTTGAAAACTAATTGTTTAACTAGCTTAATATGTTACTTTAAATATGCTTCTCTCCTAGCTGTGCCCATCCATCTCTTTTCAGGTCTCTAAGCACACCGTGGCCCTGCTTTCTGCACGGGTGGTGTGTGACCCTCCAACCTGCTCCTGAGCATCCTGGAAATAGGTTTGCTTTCTGTGGCTCCCGAAGAGCCCCAGGTGCAGCTCTAAAGCTGCATCTCTGCCCTAGGCAGATGGCAGCACTGTTAGTAATGATGGCATGTCATTTAGCTATCCAAACAGCCAGCCAAGGAGAGTGTGAAACCAACTGTGAGCAGAGCATGCTGCTGATGGAGCAGCAGGCTGAGGGCAGAAGCCCTGGGATGCAGGAGATGCTGGTTCTGCTGATGACACCCGTGGACAAATCACTTCACTTCTGGCTTTTTTGGGGCACTGGTGCATTTCCTGAGGAGGCTCAAAGGCTCTACCTTGCTACTGAGGCTTTGTGCTTTTCTGAACACTGAGCTGGATTCACACCAGAATAGTTCTCAGTCTTGTTTGGGTGGCACTTGTCTGCTCAAGTGCCATGTGCTCTGAGGGCAAAGCAGTTCATCTGACTGATAAGAAGGCTTGAAAATGCACTCTCAATGTGTGTGTATGCCTTGTTGTACCAGCTAGGCTTTGACCACCTTCTCCTCTCATCTGGTTTTTGTGCGTGACAAGACCTTGGTCTTGGTGGTCTCCCTGCAGGCAGCTGAGAGCTGCGGCAGTGCAAGGGAGAAAAGCAAATGCTTCTGCTGCAGCCTGGCTTCCCTGTGGCCCTGCTGAGAGCCCAGGCTGAACGCAAATGCAGCTGATGTTTCACTTATAGCCCAAAGTACTTTGGAAAGGAAAGGAACATTATCTTTACTGGAGTCACAGAGGTATTGCAGCATGAGAAGTGTGGTTGTCTCCCTGCTGCTGAGCACTATGTGGGTGACAGAGCAGAGTTAAGACCTCCTGTCCCCAGGGCCTGTTCTACTCTAGCCAGTAAGCCTTATGATCCATACTAAGAAGGGCTACTAGTTTAATTGGGTAGGCTTTGGGAACAAGCTATTGTGTACAACGACAGCTCCAGTTTCCATGCAGAATGCAATACACAGAAGACCCTGCATCATGTGCCACAAGGCTGCCTTTGGTCTTCCCAAAGTGACTTCAGTCCCTAAATCCTTGGGATGGCAACGAGCCTTAGCCTCCTTGGGGATTACCACCTCTGAAAACCCTTAGTCACCTCAGCTCTGTGCCAAGTTGCTCACCCCGTGCCTGTGCTACTGAGGGGATGGCAGCAGTTGCAGCAGTGCCAGCCAGGGAAAGCCTTCTACTTCTAGTTAGCGGATGCTGTCTCCTGGAAAGGCTTTGAGCTCCATGCATTTCATGTTAGCCTGATCCTCTGGGCTAGGGAGCTGCTTGGTGGTGGCCTTGGGCAAGTTGCTCCCTTTAGTTAGATCCTGGTTTTGCAAACACCAGACTGGGAGCAAAGCGCAGTGAGGACAGAGCTGCTTGCAGGTGCTTGACAATCTCTGCTCCCACCAAAGGGTTAGAGATCCTCTGGTTTTGCTCTCCCACACCAGCTCTGGGAAATCTGGCACCACCACAGCTGATCCACAAGCCCAGATCCCATGAAACATTATTAAAAATGACAGCCCGGCATGCGGCTGAGAGTGCACCAGTGCTCACGCAGAAATGTGAAGACCAGCTCTCTGCTGGCTCACAGCTGCCTCCCTGCTATGCAGCATCGAATGTCTCTGTTTTTCGAGTTGGCCAGTTTGGAGAGTGGATCAGACATCAGATGCCAAGTTTTCTGACATTCATGCGTCAGGCTATGAACTGGCCAGGGTTTGGGATAGGGGCTGCTCTTACTGTCAAAGGAAACAAGTCGAAGGAGCAGGTATCATCCCACTCTCTGCCCAGAGCCATACGTGTCTTGGCCCAGTATTTACAGCCCATGAAGATACTCCAGTCCTGGTTGGAGTTTGCATGGCATTCTTGAGCAGGGTGAAGACCTCCCCATGTCCAGACAGTATGAACAAGTAAGGTCCTTGCTTTGGAAGGAGGTGGGCTTCTCCTGAGTGATGAGGGCAATGGAGATACAGGGGCAGGGTGTCCTGCTCAGGGCAGCCAGGTCACCCCAGGGAGCATCACTCCCTGTTCCTGCCTGAGTACCACTGGGGAGCAAAGACCAGTGGCGTCAAAAATCCAGCCATGGATTAGGTTTGCCCTCATTAAACGAAGAGCAGCCTCGCTCCACGGCATGCAATCTGGCATGAGAGGCTTCTGTGGCTCCCGCTTTTGCTGCAGTAGAAGTCTGTGTTAGAAAAGAAGGCTCCTTCTGTCTGGCAATGTAGACCCTTTAGGCAACGTGGCTTCGAATGGGCTTACACAAGGATTTTTTGTGGTGACATAAGTGCTGCTGCACTATGCCACTGAACACCCCTAATCACCTGACAAATATTTGGTTTTGTTTTGTGTCTGTTTGCTCAGAACTGTAGAAAATCCATGCTTACTACATTAAGGAGCAAGATGTGATAGGAATGTTGAACCAATTACAAGTAATACTAAAAAAAAAAAGAAAAGAAAAAAAAAGCCTGAGTGGGAAGAGCTAACATCAGAATACCAGGGATTACTCTCTTGCTCTGCAACACCTTCATTTTGCCAGAAAAACAGGCTTTTCCATCTGTGAATATTTAGGCTTTTCCACTGGCTTTGACACTGTCTGTCCAAAGGCTTTTGTCTGTTCACTGGATCCAGCATTTCTGCAACGTTGATAGAGAGCTTTTTATCTTCTGCTGACAGCTCGAATGCAGCTCACTGGAGTTGGACTGCAGGGCTGACCTTTTCCATCCGCGCTCGCAGCCTACAGGAGAAATTAATTCTCTAGTCAGCTTTAAAAAGTTTGATAAAAAAATCACAGTATAAAACCCCAAGATGGGAAAGGTGATGAGAAGACCTGCTAAATAAAATGAGCAATCCATCCAAAATTCAATAGTGTGTGCTTACTTGGCAAATTTGGGAGATTCATGGTATGTAGGGATTTAGTGTGGGAGGAGGCAGGGGACATGCCCAGCGTTGTAATGCTCATTCTTCTCCCTTTCAGGTAACAAAAGCCAGGTCCAGGCTGAACTCTGCTATGCAGAGAATAAGTTTGTGTGCCCGAACGCCACCCAGGATCCCCAGAAGGAGGCCAGCAGTATATGGGCAATGATGGTCATTGCCCAGCTGCTGGCTGGAATCGGGACAGTTCCCATCCAGCCCTTTGGGATATCCTATGTAGACGACTTCGCAGAAGCAAACAATTCCCCACTCTACGTAGGTAAGCATGATCATTGCTGTATATCATTCTGTTCCGTCCAGGCCATAGAGTTGAGATGTACAGGTGCTCATCTGGAGAGGAACCTGTGGGCATGGGTTGAGCAGCCAGTGGGATGCAGATGAGATCCTCCCCCATTAAAAGGCTGGGCTGTCTCTCCCCTTGATAGCCAGCTGTTCTCTGTAGGGTTATATTTATGGTGTGGATGTTAGGAAGCCAAAGAATCAGGGCAAGGAGATGAGATGAATGAGCTGGGGCTTCTCCCTTGCATCTGTGAGAACTTATGCCATCCATGGGTGGAAAAAGTAGTGAGGAAACCTTACTACTCACATCAGAGTCATTTAGGAGTTGAAAGCAGACATTCCAAAATAAGGTAAGCACTAAAGGAGAAGGAAAGCCTTTGGAATTAGACTCCCAAGGACAGGCTTTGGAAAAGCAATGGAGTGCTTGGCAGGGTCTCCAGACCCACCCAGGCATGCTTTGCTCCAGGGTCCTGCTGGAAAGGGTTGTTACATCACCTAAGAGCTCTGCAGAAAGTCTCCCCTGCAGGTAGTACTCACTCCTCTCAACTCAATTATAGTAGCCTGGGCTGGCAAAAGGAGGGACATCATCCTCGTCTTCCCCTGTGGCGAGGGGTCACTGCTCCCAGGACTTCTGAGTGCCCTTTGGATTCACAAAGCTAAAGATGAAGGCAAACGGGACTGGCTTGTTCTGGATAATATAGGCGGTCACTTAGGGCCATGGGAATGTCTGTGTTGGTGGGGTACGGCTACTGTGAGTCTGGATTGTCTCAGTACAACACAAATACCATTGCCCTTTGAGTATTGTTTTATTTTAGGTCCCAGCATCTTCCTATGAAAGGGAATATTATTGTCTATGTATGAGGTTAAATACTTCTCTAAAGACTTCCTTCAATACTTAGGTTTATGTTGCAGAAACAAAAGCACTGCCTTGCCTAACTGGGGAAAAAAAAAAAAAAAAGCTTTTAAAATAGGCACACAGCTGAGGCATAGCAGTAGGATCAGGCGCTTTCATACCCAATATGTTCAAAGGCTCCAGACCAGCAAAATGGTTAATGCAGTTCAAGCAAACTGTCTCCTTTTGAACATCTTAAGAAGGTTTGCAAAAAGTTTCTTTCATGGATGAAACTTGAATCCTTTCATTCCGAAGAAGTCAAAAGGAAACATTTTGACCTTATGGGATAGGTCCAAGTTACTCATTTTTTGAAGAGGATAGTTCAGCCGAACCAAGGGTGATTTGCTGGTCTTTTTGCTCTCAGCATCTTTCACCTTCCCTGAAGTTTGCACCAAATCTTTTCGCTTGGATCTAAGGACTAAGATGGCTTTGTTTCCTTGGCCTCCCGTAAGAGATTAAGATCTCCGTCACCTGCAGGAGCCCAGGATCCCACTGTTCTGCTGCTCTCCGGGGTTCCCCCCTTTGTCACAGTGAATCGTGAGTATTCATGGTGTAGCCGACATCTTTTAGCGTGTCAGCAAAGCCTTGATTGCAGCAGAGCAGAGGGACTTTTTCTGCAGGCAGCTGCTTGCCCTCCTCCTAATCCTGTTAGATAAACACCATGTCCAGTACCTGAGCAAAGGGATCTTATCATCTGCTGCTTGATAAAAGATCTCTGCATGTTGTAACACCATACCTGCCTCACGTGGGAGGATAAAAGCCGTATCTGCATTGAAGCTACTGTTCCCTGCTTACATTGGCTCTCTCTGCTCCCTTTTTTCAGCCATCCTCTTTGCTATTGCCGTGTTTGGCCCTGCTTTTGGATACTTGCTGGGATCCGTGGTGCTGCGGCTCTTTGTGGATATTGGAAGAGTTGACGTTGGTGAGTAGCGATGGTCCTAAAAGCCTTCTGTGAGTCAGAAGGACACTCTGAGATGAGTGGTGGCAGAAGCCACCAGTCCTGTGACTCACAAAACCCACTCCCCTGGAAAGATCTGATCTGGAATAGCACCTCAGCACACTTCTTCATCTCCCCATGAGGAAGACAACAGATGGCAACCATTGCCCTATGGGTGCATGGGCAGGCTTGAGTCTACTCGTCCTCCTCCCCACCGCCCTTCACCAGCATCTGCAGAGAGAGGGACCAAGCCAATGCCAACACAGGGCTTATTTTCTTTATCTACAGTGCGTGCTTATTTCTGGTAACTTAATCACTAAAGAATTCTCCTCAGCTCCATCAGTAATGTGGCTTTTCCTGTGTTTCCTTAGAGAGATCAGAGCTCGCCTGACATTTTTGTCCAGTGCCTGATAAGAGTAATAAATGAACCTCAGGCAGGAAACAGCAAAAAGCCTTGGCTCGCTCCCTGTGGCGGCAGACGGATTTAGCAGGCTCTGCCTGGTCGCTCCTTGATGACGTCCAAGCTCCAGAGTGGAGTGGTCCTGTTTGGGGAAGCAGGGCAATTGTTTCAGTGGGGTGTGGGCTCCTCTCCTGCCGCACCCTGGCACGGAGGTCCCACCCGGAGGCTGCTGCTTGTTCCTTTCCCAGCCGCAACATCCTGGTGATGGGGACATGCGGTCCCCATGCCAAGCCAAGCAATCTGTCAACCTCTCGTGAGCATCGCTTGGCCCAGCCGAGGGTGTCTGCACTGGAGACGAAGCGGATCTCACCTTCTCCTCCTTTTTCCGGAGAAGGCGCCCAGAGTTTCATCCACTCGGAAACCAGGCTCATTAACAGCACTCTTCTGCTGGCATGGGTCCTTCCCTTGGTCTCTGCAAGCAGAGAGTGACCAAGCCTGGAACAATGAGAGAACAATTTTTTCCAGGAAAGCGGCTGTGCCCTTTCCCAGTCCCTGTCTCAGCTCAGCATCCCTGACAGGTAGTGCAGTCCAAACCCACCGTACACCCCACGCAGAGGAGGATGGAGTCAGGCCTCTGTAATCACTGCCTTGCTGGCTGGCTCGGCAGGGAAGAGTTGAACCTATGCCATCAACATACTTTGGTGCTGACTAAATCCATTCCATCATTTGGGAGGCTCAGTGCAGTTTGGATGGGGAGTGGCGGTGCAGGATTCTGGCCGGGGAAGGAAGGTCAAACATGACCAGGGCTGGTCTTGCTACCAACGCTGGTGGGAGCTGCCACCTCCATCTATTTGCTGTTCCACACCAGTGGAGAGACCCTTGGACTGTGCCCACATGGAGCCTTCTTGCTCCACCGGTTCAGATTTTTCATGGATATTCGCACCTTACACCCTAGACAGGTGCAGAGCTCTTATGATGGGTCCTTGTGCCTTGCAGCTACAGTGGCCCTGACACCGAGGGACCAGCAGTGGATTGGAGCCTGGTGGCTGGGACTGCTGATCTCCTCAGGCTGCTTGGTGCTCACGTCCATTCCTTATTTCTTTTTTCCTCGGTACCTGCTGAAAGGAGAGGTGAGACCTCATCTCCAGAGGGCCAGAACATCTTGGTGACAGGGCTGCGCTCGGGGAGGGAATACCTGTCCCTGGAGGAGAAGGGTGGGAGGGAGGAAGGGAGCACAGCAACCTCTCTCAGATGTGGTTACAACTTACAAGTGAAAAGTCTTCCAAACAAGCTCGTGAAGGACCAGGACCTTCCCTTCCTCACCATTAGCTGGAAAGCCGGAACCACCACAGCTCAGCAGACCAAAATCAGACCTCATGCCCTTCCCACTAGCTGCATCGACAGCATCTGTTGGGAAGGTTCTGGGCCTTCCCTGGGGCAGGGTGATGGCTGAGTGGCTTCTTGGGGTTCCTGCACACAGTCCTCCTTGGTAGGGGTCTGTCATGGCGTCTCAGCCCTTCCTGGGGTGTCTGACCTGGTTCTGCTGGTGATGGCTGTATCTTAACTCCCCACTGCAAAGTCATGCTCTCCTGATGCCAGCAGCATCATCATCAGTGATAGCCCCTGCTCAGAGCAGGGCATCCTCAAGTGTGGCATACACAGGAGCAGCACTGGGATAAAGCTGGGCAGCGGGGTTTGATAAATGGGCTTTTCCTTTTGGGAAAAAATTGTAGAAAAGAGACAAGTTTCCCATTAAAACAAACGTTAAAAGATGAAAAACTACCAAAACGTTTCATTTCAGTGTTTTCAAAGCCAAGCCCCACTGGTTTAGTTTCAAAAGTAGTTTTGTTTTGTTTTGAAATTGTTTAATCATTGATTCTTTAAAGGTCAAAAGCAAACCCAAAATATTTCATTATTATAGCTAGACTACTCACCAGACTTGAGCTGACCTATGCCCCACTTTCATTTTCAGACTTTTTTAGAATTAAAAGAGTATCTTGTCAGAGTTGAGGAGAGGAAAGCTTGCCAAGCTCTTAAAACCTCTAAGAGCAGGACAAACTTTTGTCTTGCAGCTCTGCTCAAGGGCTGCCATGATTTTTGAGATAATTCACCCCTGAGCTGTAACGAGCAGAAAAACCATCAGGCTTGGCAGGGTGTCAAAGGCATCTGGGACAGACCCTGCTCCTCCTGAGCCTTGTGGGGAGCTGGGACGGTGCCAGCCACACATGGGTACTCCCCTCTCACCACAGGCTGCTCTTCTCTCCCTCCCCAGGACCTGAACGCAGAGGCTGGCATGCTCAGGAAGATGGAGAAGGGGGTGGCTGAAGAAACCTCCCTGCTGGAGTTTATAAAAAGTAAAGGGTTGGCACTTAAAGGCGAGGGTGACCGGGGGCACAAGGCCATACTGGGTGGGTGGAGACCACCATGCCAGCGTTTTCAAGCTGAGGGTGCTTGTTGGGAGCCTTTGAGTCAGTCCACCACCTTGCATGGAGCTACCAGGGGCAGCTCAAGCACCTCAAGCTCAGCCCTTCCCTAAGGACCACAGAAAAATGGACACAGCCTCCCTCTTGCTGTAAGACAGCACTGTTGAGGTCTGTGGAGCCTGAATCATCTCTGAAATTTCGTTTGAGGATCTTAAATGGCACAAGCACACTGGAAAACGCTAGCTGGGTGGTTTAACCTGTGGCTCCAGGAGAGGGCATAGGGCTGCTGGTGCCACCATAGAACTGCAGCTTACACTGGTTTGTTTATGTGTAGCTGAAACAGGCTTCAGTAGGGATGTCACTGATGAGAGAGACCAGTTTAATGACTTTTTTTAGCTCCATGGTGGCTTCTTTCCGGCTAAAGCCCCTCCCTCCTTCCCTCTCCATCCACTGCCGTCATGTCCTGGAGCTGTGTACTCCCTCTTCTCTATCTCATTGGGTTTGATGAACAATGCCAGGTCTCCATGGCACATTCTGCTAGAAGGGGAAAGCTAGTTAGGGACTAAATAAACAGAGCTGCTCCTGAGGAGCCTGGAGTCAGCCTGCCTTTGCTGAAAGGGCAGGGGCAGATGATGTCCCACCAGGAAAATACACTGTGTTCATCAGCTGCAGGAGCCAGACCCTGCCTGTGCACAGATGGTGGGGCTCTGCCAAAACCCATGTGGCTTTGTCTGTTTGCACTGCCCAAGGGTATGGGCCCTGCTCCAGAAAAACAAGTGCACCACGGCTGCTAAGTGCTCCGGAGGCTTGTGAGTTTGCAAAGCATGGGAGGGAGGGTAGTGGGAAGACCTGGCCTTCCACTTTGCTTCTCAGGGCACTTTAGCCATGGTCCTGCCAGCTGCCAGGCCAAGTTAGGGTGTCTCCACTTCCATTTTCCCATGGCCTTAGCCATCCCTTGTATTAACTCACTGGGAACAGTCTATGGGTGGGGTTTTTTCCCGCAGTACGAATTGCTGATGTGAGGGTCACGTGGCTAAAATACATTTTTCCTGCTGTTTCCCTGTAGGATTCCCAAAGATCTTCCTCAGGCTGCTCCTCAATCCCCTCTTCATCCTCCTGGTGCTGGCTCAGTGCAGCTTCTCCTCAGTCATTGCGGGTCTGGCCACCTTCCTCAACAAGTTCCTGGAGAAGCAGTACGGTGCCTCCTCCTCATATGCCAACTTTCTCATAGGTGAGCACAGCCGGGCAGTGGCAGCCATAGGGTGAAAAAATATACGTCAGCAGGGAGCCACCTCTCCATATTCCCCAGGTTTTTTAAATCCTGTGGGAGGAAGCCATTGGAAACTCATTTTCAGATGAGACCTAGGTATCACCTCAAGATGGTTGATGGCTCTCCTGACCTGAGATGCCTGCAGAAGGCCCAGGCTGTCTTGCAGCCTCTCAAAGGCTGTCTACATTTATTTGCTCGCTCTTGCGAGCCAGCAATCGCTTTCGTTGAAAACGTGCAGCCCCACCACATGGGAGAAGCAGGTCTGGGTCACTCAGATGCTTAAAGTTGTCAAGAGCAAGTGATTATGTGCCAAGCTTGATCTTGCACCTCTAAGCCAGATTCCTGAAGCTCAGGTTTCTCCTAGGTGCCAGCTGCCTTGGGTTTTGGTCTGCCTTGGAGACTGGTGGGGTCTGTGGGTTCTCCCAACCACCGTGTCCACAAAGCTACTACCTCCATCCCCTGCCCACAGAGAGGTGCTTGGCAGACAGGACCCCCAGCTAATGCCTTCATTCCGCTGCAGGGGCTGTGAACCTGCCAGCAGCAGCACTTGGGATGCTTTTAGGAGGAATCATCATGAAACGCTTTGCCTTCTCCCTCCGGGCCATCCCCCGGTTTGCTGTGGTGGTGCTTGTTTTTTCCATCCTCATCTGCCTGCCTATTTTCTTCATGGGCTGCTCCACAGGACGCATCGATGGGATCTACCCCCCCAGGTAACACAGGTGCCTGCATTGTTTCCAGCTCCTTGTTCCTCCAGCTCTTGACCTGATTATCCATGGGGTGGGATACATACAGGTGGAGGGGAAAAGGCAGCAGACATCACCACGCTACTGCTTGCTCCTTGATCCCACTGTCTGGAGGAGATCTAAGTGATCTACAGCACAGAAAGCTTGGGAGAGCATTTGTTACTAATTTTCTGTACCAAACAAGCAGGGTGTATTTTTCACTCTGGATTTCTAGGGAGAAATTGTTAGTATTAGTGCCCACGTCCACATCAGCTTCACATATGGGCATCTCGCACGGTCCCTTTTTTCCAGCTGAACATCACCTTTCTCCTCACCTGAGTGGAAACTTTTGGCTTTTACCATGTCTTTTGAACATAAAAATGACATTTAGACTCCACCCCAGGCTTGCTGTCAAGGGCATCATGCTCATTTCCCAATGCACTGCCAGCAAGGGGCTTCCGTATAGACATTTTTCTTCTCCAGCAATAAGTCTCCTGTCCCAAGGGTACAATGGAGAGATGAGGGACAGAGCAGTCCATGGCCTTCTCCCACGTGAAAACCACTTAAATAACCACGGTGAAGGAAAGCAACAGCAGTCTGCAAAGTCATGTGTAGGTGACGTGTTTACATTTTGCTCTGAGAGCTGCACAGCATGCACCATGAATTCAGGAGCACATGGAAATCCACTGAGGCACTGGCGCTTCAAGCCTTCTGTGTGAGAGCAAGGCTTCAAATGTGAGGAGATCAGTCAGCTCAAGATCAGGTGCTGCAAGTGCTAAATTTTGTGATGCACCTTGGCCTCACAGCGTTCACCTCTTGTTGCCAGTGTCAGGTTGACTGACTGTCTTGGCTACTCGGGGATGCACCAGTCTTGAAAGGCTTTGCTGATGTAACTAGGAGCTGCTGGAGGGTCTTGCATGGAAAAGGAGACTGTTGCCTTATATTATTTTGGAACCCTCACCCCACACAATGGCAGCAGTGCATAAATGCCTTTTGCCTGTATCCCCAAGTAGCTGTGGGCTACGTGGATGAGTGAGCATGAGCTCTGCCACATCCCACCATGCCTAAGGGCAGGTCCCTGGTGCTGTGTTCCCATAGGGGATGGAGCAGTCCCATCCCACCATGACCAAGGGCAGGTCTTCAGTGCCATCTTCCCGTAAGAGACGGACTGTGCCGCTCCAGCAGATGAGCTCCCTTAGGTAGTAAGGCAAGACAGGACAGATAATTCAGTTTGTCCTCTTGACTTTCACGCTGTCATCAGGCTTGTTTGGAAATGAGCCCACTTCCAGTTTCTAGCTGAATGGTGTTTCCAGCTGGGGCTGTTCACACATCTGTTTGTGCAGTTTTGGATGGAGCCCAGATATATTTCTCCAGGCATTTGGCTGATCAGTTTTCAGCAGGGGAGTGGGGCGGGGGGTGGGGGCAGTAAGTGTGTGAGTACTTGTTTGCAGACATAACATAATTACTGCTAAGTTCACTGTACACTTGCAGAGGTACCTGCAGGGAATTAGGGTCTGGCACAAGGCCAGCCTGCTGCTGGCCGTGTCCCAGTGCAAACAGGAATGGGGAAACTGGCTAACTAGTAGAAGGGATTTTTCTTTCTCCTGTCCTACTTTTTAATGTTTTTAAATTTTTTTTCTCCTCCTTTTTGGCAGTACATTGAGTTCCCAGCAGCAGGTTAAGACGCCGAGCGGGTGCCACTGCTCTGAGCACATCTTTCACCCAGTGTGCGGAGAAAACAATGTGGAGTACATCTCCCCTTGCTTCGCTGGCTGCATGAACAGCACCGCTAATTTTTCCACTCCCAAACAAGTGGTGAGTAAAACGAGCGGTTTGCAAAGCAGAGGGCACCTTGCTTGCTGGTAACGGTGGAGGTTCCAGCGATGCTGTAGGAACTTGACAAACGCAATAGCTTGGTAGAGCCTTTTTGATGTGGTAGGCAGGGGATGTCTACCATCTAGAGATGCTGAAGTCATCTTCTCTGGAAGGTGCGATGGAGAATTGCTGTAATGCCCTGGGAGTCTATTTGGAGAGATGGAGACAGAGGCACATCCCATTGCAGCATGCCATGGCTGTTCCTTAAAATCGGAGCTGATGCTCTTGTCAGTCTTCTGCAAAGTGATGTGGTCTGGTGCGTCGCTAAAAACCCTGCTCTTGGCTTTGGGAGTCTTATATTTGTTTTTTCCAAACATTTCAAACAGATCTACAAGAACTGTTCCCTGATCCCTGCTGGGAACGGGCTGTCCTATGCCAAGGCAGGCTCCTGTCCACTCAGCTGCTCCCACATGCTCCTTCCTGCCATATTCCTCATCTCCTTTGCTGCCCTGGTAGCCTGCCTGTCCCACAACCCCCTCTACATGATGGTTTTACGGTGAGCATCGAGCAGGGGTGTGTTGCAAGGCACTGGGGGAACCATGATGTGATCGGTTCCCCAAGCTGGGATCAATGGGACCTCTTAAACTTGCAACCAGGCTGAGACACTGGGCCAAATGCAGAGCTGCTGCAGCCGCTCTGACCTCCCGTGGCTTCTCCCCTGCAGGGTGGTGAACCAGGACGAGAAGTCATTTGCCATCGGAGTCCAGTTCTTACTAATGAGGCTGCTGGGTGAGTGTCCATCTCCTAATGAGGCTGGGGAAAGGCAGCAGGGTGCTGAGAGGCTTGCTTAAGCTCCAGGAGGTGTTGAATCTCCTTGGGGACAGCAGGCAAAGCATGCAGGCAGGGCAGGGCGGGCAGCCTGATTCCATCCTCTCTCCAAAGCATGGCTGCCAGCTCCGGCCATGTTCGGTGCCCTCATTGACTCCTCCTGCATCTACTGGCAGAAGCAGTGCACCCAGCGCCGGTTCTGCACCTACTACAACAACGACTTCCTCCGCAACAGGTACCCCTGCTGTGTGTCCACCCGTCCCCTTAAGTGGGGATGACCATGGGGATGGTCCACAGCTCAGCCTGGTGCTGGCTGGAGGTGCTACCTCCAGACGTGGCATCTCCCTGCTCTTCTCCCGACAGATACCTGGGGCTGCAGGTGGGCTACAAGGTGGTGGGCACCATCCTCCTTGCCCTCATCAGCTGGAAGGTGAAGAGGAGCAAGGAGTACAACGTGCAAGAGAAGGCAGCAGGGCTGGTGTAGCCCACCTGGGGACTGACTCAGCACCCCTCATTACTCACTGCCAGTACTTTGTCTTTTTTGGGTTTGTTTTTCATCCTAAGGGAGTGACTTCACCTTAGCAGCTCTGAGTTCCTCTCCTGCAGCTAACGGCACCACCATGCTCCTGGTGAGGATGGTCCCGGCAAAGGATGCTCCATACCAGCTTCATCCTGGGACCAGCTTCTCCCAGGCTCTCCAGCCGCACCTTGCCCATCACTTTGGGGAGGAAGCAGCCCCACCGCCAATGGGAACAGGAGGCAGAGGAGGGCTGGAATGCAGCCCCATCCCATATACCCAGAGAAGTGCCTGCTGTGGGCGATGTTCCCCGCTCCAGCGTGACGTTTCCAGCCGGGTAATGCCCCTCCTGGAGCAGGGGAGATGGCTGCCAACCCTGTGGGGCTGCCCTGTGTTCCCCCCCGCTGCCTGCACCCCCTCGCAGAGGTCAGCATGGACACCACACACATGTTGTGAAACGTTATTACTAGGGGTTTACTGCAGAACATCTGGGGGGGGTTGTTTTTTGGGGGTTTGTTTTTTTTTTTTTAAATAAAGGTCACTTTTCCAATTGTGGTGCTTTGCTAGTCTCCCCCCCCACCCCCAAGCACCCCCAAGAGCTGTCCCCATCAGCAAGGCAAGGCAGTGGAGCCTGCAGGCAGGGGGTGGGGGGGGGGCGGGCATGGGGCTGGGGGTTGCAAGCAGGAGTAGGGAGTTACAGCCAGGGTGCAGGGCTCTGCAGGCATAGGGATGTGGGCAGGGTGTTGCAGGCAGGGTTCGTGTGGCTGCGAGTAGGTGACAGTGGGCTTTGGCATGGGGCTGCAGGCAGAGTATTGCAGGCAGCATGGAGGGGTCTGCAGGTAGGGTGCAGGGCAGTGCAGGCATGTGGCTGTGGACACAGGGCTTGAGACCAGAGCTCTAGACAGGGTGCAGGGGGCTGTGGGCACAATGCCAGGGGTTGCAGGCAGGGGGTTGTGGGCAGGGGGCTAGAGACAGGGTGCAGTGGGCCTCAGAAGTGTCTGTGGGCAGGGGCTGCAGGCAGAAGGCAGGGGGCTGCGGGCAGCAGGTTGCAGGCATGGTGTTGGAGGCAGAGGCGTGCCAGCATAGTACAGGTGGGTGCAGGCATGGGGCTGTGGGCAGTGGGTTGTAGGCAGGGTGCATGGGGTGCAGGCATGGCACAGGGCGCTGCAGGCAGCATGTTACAGGTATGGGGCTGACACCATGGGGCTGCAGGCATGGGGGTGTTGGCAGTGGGTTGCAGGCAGGGTACAAAGAGCTGCAGGAACAGGGCTGCAGGCACTGAGCAGGGGGTTGCCATGAGGGTGCTGTGGACTGTAGGCAGGGAGCAGATGCTACAGGCAGGGAGCTGGAGACAGCATTCATGGGCTGCATGAATGGGTTTGTGGGTAGAGTGCTGCAGGCAGGATTTGGGGCACTGCAGGCAGGGTGCTGCAAGGATGAGGCTGATGACCTAGTGTTGCAGACCATGCAGGGGGCTGCATGCATGGGGCTGCAGGCAGAGGGCTTCAGCCATGTGGCTGTCGGCAGTGGGCTGCAGGCAGCAGGCAGGGGCAGGAGGCAAGGGGCTATGGAAACAGGGCTACAGGGGGCTGGCAGTGGGGACCCACAGGGCAGAGGTGCAACAGGTTGCACGCAGGCTGCAGAGAGCTGCAAGCAGGGGGCTGTGGGCAGGGAGCTGGCAGCAGCATTCACGGGGCTGCAGGCATAGGGCCTGCAGGAATGGCTGAGGGATCTGCAGGCAGGATGCTGGGCAGGAGGCAAGGGGCTATGGAAACAGGGCTACAGGGGGCTGGCAGTGGGGACCCACAGGGCAGAGGTGCAACAGGTTGCACGCAGGCTGCAGAGAGCTGCAAGCAGGGGGCTGTGGGCAGGGAGCTGGCAGCAGCATTCACGGGGCTGCAGGCATAGGGCCTGCAGGAATGGCTGAGGGATCTGCAGGCAGGATGCTACAGGCATGGGGCTGATGGCAGGGTGATGCAGGTAGGGTAGAGTGGGCACAAGGATGCCGGCAGATGACTGCAGGCAGCGTGCAGGGGTGTGGAGGCAAGGGGCTGGCAGCAGGGGCTGCAGTTATGGGGCTGTGGGCAAAGGGCTTGGGCATGGAGGTCTAGGCAGAGTGCAGGCAGCTGTGGGCATAAGCAGCAGGCAGGGGGCTGAAGGCAGGGGGCTGGAGACAGAATTCAGAGGGCTACAGGAAGGGTCTATGGGCAGGGAGCTGCAGGCATGGGGCGTGGGCAGGGGCTGCAGGGAGGGTACAGGGGCTGTGGGCAGGGGGCAAGGAGCTTTGGGCATGGAGTTGCAGTCAGGGTTCACGTGGCAGTAGGCAGGGTCTGTGGGTAGCAGCACGCAGGGAAGGGTCATGGGACTGCAGGCAGAGGGCCTGCAGGAACAGCCCAGGGGGCTGCAGGGAGGGTGCCAAGGCATGGGGCTGATGGCAAGGGGGTGCAGGCAGAGGACTGCAGGCAGCACACAGCACTACAGGTGGGGGCTGTAGGTAGGGTTGTGCAGGATGTATACCTGCCTGTGGCACCTCTGAAGGGAGCGCAGCAGCTCCAGGGCCTCCCTAACCCACTCTGGCAGAGCTTCTCCTGCCCCCCCAGCGCTAGTCAGGACCTCTCCTTTCCTGACAGGATGAAGGCAACCTGCTAGAATGGGAAGAGAGGTGTCGGCTAGTGGGATCTGGAGATGCACCCACTGATGACGACAGCCTGCTGTCACCTGCAGAGGATGACACACCCCTTGACTGGCATCACAGGAATTGCTTCCTGAGCTGATCTGAAGAGCCTGGTGCTATGCAAAGGACACACCATCCATGTCGCCAAGCTGATGCTGCAAAAAGGTGAAGCCAAGAGCAAAGGGCTTGACATGAATGCACTAGATCCGAGAGGGTCACAGCTCTTCCATGGCTCCTGTAGGAGGGCAGGCTGTTGAAGCGCGTTTGCCACCCAGAGAGGACCATGGCTGGTCAGGATCAGCAATACTATCCCCAGGGGTGGGATAGCAAAGGATGCTAGAGAGTCAGTCGGTGGGTCAGGATCAGCAGGGTCCATGGTCAGGCATAGACATGGCCATGGCCAAGCTGGAGATCGCTACACCTACAACATACCTCAGGAAGTGACTGAAGGGCCAGGACTGAGCTGCGATAGGGCTCCTGGGCCCATGGGAAAGGAGTATAGGCCAGTCAGGGCCACCACACCTTCCTCCTCCCTTACACTGTGGCTGTATCCCCTCCTGGGCAGCATCACAGAGTAAAAGAAAGGTGACCCGGATACAATGGCAAGGGACAGGAGAGGAGCAGACGACTTTCCCTGGGAAATGTATTCAGCCTCTGCTGTCCTCACCTCGTCGCTGTGTGGGGCAAGGAGTGACTTTTCACTGTGCTCTTGGCCAATAGCCCTGCTGCATCCATGCTCACAAAGGGAGTAAAGGAGAGTAGAGGGAAAAGGAGACAGGAGGGGAGCTGCCTTGGATTTGCTCTGGATCAGCAAGTCTGTAGGAAAATGAGGTCTGTCCATGCTATTCCTGTTCGCCCTCCACCTGGCAGGTTTTCCATTAACACCTGCATCACCTTCCTTAACTCTGCTTTCTCCACCTTCATCCCATCAGGGGTAACATCAAGCTGGACACGCCCCAGGAGGTGCCAGCCAGGGGAAGCATACAAGGTGACTCAAACGGGGCCACACAGAAGCTCCTGGCCCCAAAGGTGTTAAGGTGGCTGGGGCTTTCACAGGAAAGGTCACAGTCACAATACCTGGTTTTGAGAGCCTTGGAAGCCACCACCACCAGATGCCAACGTTCAGGCATTGGGCTATTTTTGCTTTTCTTTGCCTTTCAGCAATGTCTCCTCCACTTTCATGTGGTTTCTGCTATCCTGGATCTCACTGTGCTTGTCAATCTCTTCCAAAAGCACCTTTCCTTTCCAGGGGAACAATTCGCAGGAAAAACAAAACCCATAGCAAAAAGTACCACTCAAAAGAGTTTTAAAGTACAGTAAAAGCCTCCATCCCTGCAGATGTGTAACTGCAGCAGGCTGACTGACCCTGGGTCTGGCAGCTGGAGCAGAAGGGGCTGAGTTTATCACATCCCACTGTCTTGCCAAAGCCATCTAAACACACTGGCTGCCAGGCTGCAGCCTGAGGAGCAACTTGCCCAGCCAGCACAAAGCCACAGGCTGGGAGCAAGGTTTATACATCAGAGCCAAAAACAAAGCTGACTGGGGAAGCTGACTGGGGAAGAAAAAAAACAACAAAACAAAACAACATTCAGAGAACAACATTCAGAGTTTCCAGTTCTGCACTTTTCCCTCAGCCACTGGGGAAAAAACCAGCCCCAAATATTTAACAGACCATTCGTGGAGCATGGTGCAAAAACCACGTGCAGCTCTGCACCAGCCCAATGCACACTCCATCCTTTGGCACAAGCGGCACTGGGTGCAGCCCCAGTTCAGCTGCCCCCAAGCAGGGAAAGCTGAGGTGTCCCTGTCCAGCTGCAAAGGCGTAGGGTGCCATCGCCATCTCCACCACAGTCCACATGCAGTTGACACCACTGAGAAAGGGCCAACACAGACAGACTCGAGAACAAAGCAAAAAAAAAATTTATTTAAGGAATACTTTTAATAACTTAAACCCAACCATGGCCTCATGCTACCTGCCCCCCCACTACCCCAGCAGAGGCTGGCGTTTGGCCTCTGCTTTTGAAGGAGACAGGTCTTTGCAAGCAGAACAACCACCCAAAGAAACAGCAATATTCTCTCTTCAGCATTACAGATTCAAAGCAGGCAGCCTAGGAAGGATTTCCAGCTAAAGGAGTTCAAAGCATGACAATCACGTTCCAACAATACTCTGGCTGCAGGAAACAGTATAACCTACTTCATAAATATAACCCTCCCCACCTCCTGCATGGATAGTAGAAGAGCCACTGGTTTCACAAGACTAGAAATGCAAGGCCCAGCTCCATCACGAGCACAGATCCTTGCTGAAGACTGTTCTCACTCTTCCCAATGCTACTAACACTCGGCAACGCTACAGGGAGGCAGAGAATGCCCCTGACAAAATGGAAAAGAACATAACAGCTCAGTTGAGGGATGAAGGAAGCATCAAACCAGAGGAGAGGAGCCAGCAAAGGACAAAAAAGGTCTACCAGGAGCCTGCCACTCCCTCCTACCTAAAACAAAAGGGGAAGAAACAAAAACAAAGGAAAAATTCCAATGCTGCAGGACCTCGCAACATGCAGCGTGGAGAGTAATCATCCTTGTGTAAGCGCTGCAGGGAAATGACACCTCACCAGGGCACAAAGCTGTCTGAAGCTGCTGGGCAGGAAAACTGTGTTTTAGGGCCGTTTAGGAAGGGAAAGCTGAACGCATAGCACCAGGGTCTTGTCTCCCACCTGACCAACACCAATGCTGCTGGAAGATCTGTTTTTGGATAACCAACGCTCCTGGCCAGAGGATGGGATGGAGGAGAGCAAGTGTCCCTTGGACAGTTCATGCCAAAAATCAGAGCCCTCCAAGCAGCCTCCTGAGCCACCAAGCTATCTAGAATGACAGGCATTCCCCAAACCTTCCCTGCAAGATTAATGGCTGAGATAACACACACCATAGAGAATTTGGCTTTGAACACCACAGACAAACTGGGAAAATCTCCCATTTCTTCCCCTTCTTCACCGAGCATCTTCCTCAGGAGAATGAATCATACTCATGTGCTAGCAGCTCCCTGACTTTCCCTCTCACTTTGCCCCAACTGCTGACTAATTAAATACAAAACACGATCTCACTGCAGTCACCGGAGCAGGAGACAGGCAGGGGAGTGCACAGCAAATGCCTGTCATGCCAGATCTCACACATAATGTAGGTATCAATCTAAAAATGTTTCAAGCTGAGACCCTGCTATAACTCTGCCACTTGGGGCGTGCACGCACACGTCCATGGGAGAAGAGCCTGACGTAAGGGAAGGAGAAGCAGAGTGAAACAAGCTTTCAGGACACAGCGCTCAGTTAAAGAAAAATTCCCAAAAACTGTCCAAAGGTGGAAATCACCCAAAGACATGGGCACCGCAAGACACAGGCAGTGCGCAGGGACAAAGACAGAGCAGCTAGCCTGGTTTGGGCATTTAACGGACCACTCCAGTCCCACAGAAACAGGACTGCACCAGTTTGGAAGAGGGGGAAGGTAGGAGACACAGAGGAAAGCAGCTTTTTATACTCTCCTCAATGACTGCCCAACTGCGAGAAACTATGCACTTCACTGGGGCAGCACAGGTGATGCGCACAGTGCTTCCAAGCAGCGAGACGCTGGGGAAAGAAGTCTGAATGCAGAGGTGATCAGTAGCTCTAAGAGGTAACAGGGCTGCAATGCTAAACCAAGGCAGAAGACAACACGCAGACTCCAACCTCTAAAACTCACCTGGCAGTGCACTCCTTCCTAATTTGCTTGGCAACTATCAAATGAAAAGCCTAAACATTAAGGAAACACAGAAGCCCAGAGCGTCAGCAACCCAGAAGAAGACAAAGGAAGAGGGGAGAGGAAAAAAAGTTGCAGCGTGAAGAGACAGTCTGAGGAAGTCACGCCAGCAATTGTGTCACGTTGCTCCCAAGCCCATGAGCAGCAGAGGAAGATACAATGCTGATTTCCAGCTTAAGTTTCTTCTTTCTACAGCAAGATGAGCTTTGAGTGCTTCAGACGATCTTTTTTCTTTCAGTCCACAAGTGTCCTGGCCCCCAGCCTCCCCAAGCTTCTCCCTCCAGCCCTGCCCTTCTCCATTCAGGCAATCTTGGCCAGCCATTTCTTGAGGCCCTCGAAGTCAGCATCTCCCTCCTCTCCCTTGCTGCCCCGAGCACTGCACTCCACAAATTCCACCTTCATGGGTAGCTGAGAGAAGTCAAAGTCCTTGCCCTTCTTCCCCAGCTGGGCAGGGCCCCCAGTGGCTGATCCATCCAGACTGGTGGGGGCTGCAGAGCGGGTCACTCGTAAGGTGTTGCTGCAGAGAAGGGAAAGGGTCAAGAACTGTAATCCAGGGGAAGGTTACCTACACCATGGCTGCTGAGATGTTCCGGACCCGGCTGTGTCAGCAGGATGCCGACTACACTAAGGACAGAAGGCTCCAGGCTCTGCCCTGTGAGGCACAGGCAGCGTCAGGCACTTTGGCCACTTCTCCTAAATACCTGCTGGAAGGCACAACTGCAGGGAGCCTCAAGACAGCAAGACAGAGAGGAGGCCACTCAAGGAGAGGGTGCTTAAACAGGTTTTGTTTTGTAATAAACAACAGGAAGAGTCAGGTGAGAATGTCCTCATCCAAATTTCCCCAACTATCCCCATGGCAGACACCAGTCACTAGGAATTACATGTGATTTAGCCCACAGGGCTCAGGATCTGCACTAGTTTAACAGGTTAACTGGGAAGAGAGAGGCACCCATGATATCAGGGATGATGCAAGGGCTCACCCCACTGCCACTTGAGAGTGGGACTGAGAGGGGGATTGAGCCCCTCCACTGCTCCCGTAAGCAATGCCTGCCCAAGGACCAGGCTGCAATGTCACTGCTGCTCCTGCCCTTCAGCTTGCTGCAGCATCTCAACCCCCTGTCACGTGTGGAGAGGAAGGATGGACCTCCTTGTCCACACTCACCAGGCACCCAAAGGCAGAGGAGCACAGGGAAATGGAACAGCCCAAGAAACGCAGAGGCACTGTGATTTGCTTGCCTCCGAGGTCCCAAAAAGCAAGGCTAGGGAAGTCAAGGGGCTGCACCAGGCACAGATGCAAAGAGCAATCTCTCCCCAGGTCTTCAACTTCCTTGTGGATGGCACACTGTACCTCTTCTAGGGACAGAGCAGCCTAGCAGTGCCTGCTCTCAGTCAACCCCAGCTACTCCTTATTCAGAATGGAAATAAATTACTGGGCCACAGGGAAAGAACAACACTGCCCAGAGGTGTGAGCTCAGGAATAAGAAAACAGACACTTCCTTGGGTTCTCCACAAAAGGACATCCAAGTAGAGCAGCACAGGGAGGAGGATGGCAGCAATCTGCCAGCCTGCAGGGATAACACTGCCTAACAGGGCACACATAACCTAGAAATCCAAATTCTACATACAGGCAACTGGCAAATGCTCAACATCAGAACCAAGGAACGCTTATTTTCTGTGAGAGCTTGAATATGTGGCAACTAATTCCTTCCTTAAAAACAGGAAGGTCAGGTATTCAGCCTGGAAGAGGCACCAGAATAAATAACCCTGCTGCCGTCTACTGGCCAAAGAGGTTAGAGAACCACAGAATCATTTAGGTTGGAAAAGACCCTTAAGATCAAGTCCAACCGTACACCCAACACTGTCAAGTCCACCACGTGGCAACAAGATGGCCGTATCCCACGAACATGCATTTGTTTGGAGACCAAAGAGCTACATTCCTCTGCCCCCTCAAGGCCGCCTTGCCACTAACTGCACACGAGCAAACAGGATCCACAGGCAAAAAGAAAGTGAAATACCCAGTTCTGAGTGTGCGGGGAAGGAAAAATATCTACTAGATGCTGGTGGAGAAGTCCACCGCAGCACAAGAGCTACACAGGCCTCTCCCAGAGCAGATTTGACCCAACTACAATTACGGGACTCAGAGGCAGAATCTTCACACACAGAAATTAAAGACAGCTTAAAAATCATCTTCTACTTGCCCTCTCCCTGGATGGACATGCCAGCCGTTGATGCTGCAGCTCATTTCAGCTGCCGGCTTACAACGTAGCACAGTCTACAAGCCACTTTCTCCTCCTTCCACTTCCTCTTACAACTTAAAATTAGCAACAGATCATACTTTGTTTGTCTTCCCAGGTTAATGTCCTGACATTCAGAAACCAGCCCTGCCTGTACCTGAGAGAGGACAGCCCTGGGCCACGGGACGTATTGCTCAACCTAGGGATGGCAGCTTTTATGAAAGGACTGGGATGCTGTTTCTCCAACCCACAGCTTCTAGGAGGCACTACACTGTGCCTACTGCTTTTCTGCGTGCTTTAGACAAGGAGCAATCTTCTCTCATCCTGGTTACACACACACAGACAAAACAGACTGCTCTTTTTCTACAGTGAACTTACATGTGGCTTAAGGGAACTCCTTGAGCACTGAGGTAAGAGATAGAAAGGAAAAAAGCTCAGAGTGTTTAAGATCCAATTTCATACTTACAGCTCTTTCTCCAGCTGCTGTTGAATAAGTTTTGCTGATTTTGCCATTGTGACATCTAGAGAGAGAAAAGAAAAGGAAATCAGCTCTTTGTTTTTTTTGTCAGAATTCAGAACCCTATTCCTCCCCCTAAAGGTACAGACAGCAAAGCCTGCTCGTCTGCACAGTCATAAGAGTTACTGGGACAGACAAGGCTGTGTCTGCACTTGGAGAAGGGACGCTGGAACTTTGGGTTTGCAGGCATGAATGGAAGCAACCCAAAAGTCTGAAATAAGGTAAGGAATTCGTTTCTTCTTGCTGGGCAGTTAAGTTGTTTCAAATAGAGGATGGGGTTTGATGTCCTACCCACAAGGCCCAGCACTCTCACCTGTCCTGGCAGTACAGAGCTCAACACAGCACTTTTTCACCTACAGCACGTGGAGCCACGAGGGCCTCAGGCAGCTCCTGAAGTACCACACAAAATAACTAAGAAAATCAAACCTGATAATGTCCAAAAGCTTCAGATTGTTAGACAGGGATCCACATCTTCACTATAAAAGCTGTAGGGATCTGAAAATCTAGTCCTTTTCAGTGACTGGATGTTCCTGTTAGTCCAATCAAAACGCATCACCTTGACAGCCAAATGGCTGTCTGATTTTAACACTGAAGTGACCAAGTGTGTACAGAGAGTTCGTTACACACAAGTTGATCCTATTTTCTGCTACCTGACAATTCAGGAAGACAGTTCCACATAAGGAGAAAGCCACCTGCCTTACTTAAGCCTGTCTAAAAAGCTGTAGCCCTCCCAAGCGGTGCTTCTCTGCAAAACTATAAGGCATACCTGACCTAAGAATTCTTCCAATAGCTGCTAGAAATGTTCCTGCTGAGTAGTCCAAGTTTAAAACTAAGCTCCAGCCTTCATTTCACTGAAATCCCAACTCCTAAGAAATTCAGCCTCCACAGCATGAACCCCTGTCACTCAAGGACCGAATCCAATGCCCAGCCCACAGGGCAGCACACAATACCTTGCTTATTGCAAGCAATCAGCAGCGCAGGTGCATTTTTGAGCACGGTGCTATCAACCAGAACCTGGTACAGGAACTCTGCCACATCCTTCACCTCCCGCTGGAAGGCCACACTGTCCACCACAAACACAATGGCTCTGGAAGAAAGAGGGAAGAACACACGCTGGGCCTGAAACTCTGCAACCATCTTCCCTTGCAAGTATTCCAGCCTGGGCTAACGCATCTGTTTCCACAACTGATCTCATCCAACCCACGAGCATGCCAGCACGTGCTGGCTGAAATACACCCCGCGTTCAGCCCCAGCAGGAAACCTTTCCCTTTCTGCCCGAGGGATACACCACATCCCCTAAACCCTCCCTGCTGCAGTTGCTTTGCCTCCTGATGCACGACAAACATAGGTAAGCAAAAAAGTAGAACAGTAACTATCCCCCGCTGCTCCACGGCAGAGCTCTGACTCTCAGGGCACCACCACACCGAGTGAATGCAGCCCACAGCATCCCCACCACCACCATTTGGTTTATCCCTCTCCAAAACATCACCTGGCCCCTCCTCCCCTGCCAACTTCCTCTCCAGGTTACCTGGCTGCGGCCTTGAACCTCTCTAAGAACTGAAGGCGCAAACTCTCATGGCCTGGAAGGTCGATTAAGGTCACATTAGCGCTCTGGGGACAGAAATGAGAAGGTATCAGCAACATCTAACTGAGGGGTACCACTGATCACAGACTGGGGAAAACCAGTCTGATATGGATTCCAGTTAACCCAGTGCTGAGGCAGCACTGGGCGAGTGAATCCCCATATACTGAGCAGAGGCACGGAACTCTCCCTGAGGCACAGTGTCTCCACCAGCCCAAACAATTCTGACAGGCAAAAGAAATGCTGACGAACGACACCCATGGCCGGGCCTCAGCGAGGAGGATACCAACACCGGGAAACCACCCGCCAGCAGTGAGTGGACAGAGCACGACCACAGAGAAAAGAGAACATTCAACTCATTTCTCTTCCAAAGCACCCCCCTACAACTACCACACGCTCAGTGAGAGCGACAAAGCTTCATCAGTCACCTCTCTCTATACAGCACTGTCCCCAAAAGCAGGCAGATCTCCGCACAGCAAAGCCACAAACTCCTGTCATGCAAGTACCCAAGACAGAATATTAATCCCACAGGCTCTGAATCAAGTCATCTATACACACACAGAACCTACCCACCTGCAAGTTTACCTAAATACACACAATTTCGCTGGGAATAACACAAAAATGCCCTTGCAAGAGACTTTTTTAAAGTGAAAGCTACAAATGTTTCCCTTCCCACAGGTTGCCAGCCAGAGAAAGCAGGGACATTAAAGAGAACAAATGCCTCTCACACACTCCTGATCAAGACATGGCTAAGCAGGGCCATGTCACCATTCTCAAGATAATGCTCATTGCTCTGGAGAGGGCAGGGAAGGCTACACAAGACCCCAGCTACTCACTGCTCTTGAATTTTAACAGAAACCTTGTCTACAACTTAAAAATAGAAAAGCAACAGCCTGCATTGCAGCATTCCAGCACCTCTCCCCCTCCAAATACCTCCTGTCTGCTCAATCTTAAAGACGCAAATATAAAAAAAGCCCCTGCACTTCCCTTTACTAGGTTTTCAGCCCCTTATTATCACCACTGTTACTGAAGATTGCCATAGAGAAGCCACAAAAAACATCCTCTACTTTTACAATTCACGGGCACGTAACACGCTTCCAGCTTGCTGCTCTCACTGCCACACGTGCCCCTGGCAAGAGAAAGAAACTCTTCTGAAACCAGAGTCACCATAAACTGAAAATAACTAGGTCTGTGGCAGCACCAGGACCTGAAAGTAACCAGAAAAGCACACAAAGTTCAGATGGAGGCTCTTTCTAAGCCTGCTAAAGCTTTTAAATTTAGGTTTTCTTCGGAGACACAGAAATTACTGCCAAGCAAATAAATCACACAACAGAACAGTCCCTCACAAATCTCCCTCCTGCTCTGAACCACACTGCTATCCCCACAGCACTGTGCTTTACTCCGCTTGTAAAAGCAGCTCCTTTTGCTCTTCTATAGAAAAAAAAAAATACCCCACACTAGCCAGCTTTCAAAAGGTGATACACAGATGTGGTTTTCAGTCAAAAAGGTATCACAATTTGCCAAGCAAAAGCTGCAGAGACGAGGAGTCCCTAATACTTCACAGTATTTTCCTATTTTCTCAGCATGCATTGCCTAGAAAAATCCTGTCCTACATTTGGATGAAACTAAGGACTGATTTCAAGGTGGGAACAATGAGTAGCACAAAAAAAAAAAATAATCAAGCCAGGTTTGGCACAGGGAGCAGAAAAACAGAAAGGCACCAGAGAAAAAAAAACAAGAAAAACATAGGCATCAGCCGGCTGTAGCAACCATGCATGAGTTACAGTATGGACTAGATAATCTCCAGAGGTCCCTTCCAACCCCTACCACTCTGTGAAAAACCTGCCCGCTCACCTTGTCATTGTTGACTCTGTAAACTGCGGAGCTGTCGGTTATCGAGGTCTGGGTATCGCGGTATTTGCCTGTCAACAGCTGGGGAAAAAAAAAACCCAGTCATTTTCAGAAAAAGGAGACTGAAGGAACACTGGCATCGTGTTTCATCCACCCAGAAACTGAAATGATCCGGGGTAACAGACTTCAGATATCTAATTTCAATTTACACGCGTGAAACAATTTCAGGGTTTTTTTCCCCTCAAAGAATTTAAAAAACACTCATAAAGAAAAAAAAAAAAACACACATAAACTTGTTTACATACTGAATCTCCACGTCGCCAAGACAAGGAAGAGAGCGTGCCTGCAAATCCTTCGGAGCACCTTCACCTCCGCACGGGAGGCCGCCAGGCGGCTGGAGCCGGGCCGCTCCCCCGCCCAAGGCTCTTTT